GTGGCGGAGGTCCTGCTCGCAGGAGGCCGCCGGGTGCTCGCACCGACCGGACGGGTTGGCTTGATTTTTGCCGTTCCCCTCGTTGGTGGTCTGCGTCGCGTTCTCTCGTCAGTCCTGGTTCTTTACTTTTCTTGTTTTTTTTAAAGGACTGGGGGAATTTCCACCGTCTGTCACTGGTACTCTCACTCTCTTGGCTTCTCTTTTCGTATTCTTCCTGCGCTCTCTGTTGAAACTTGTGATTGGAGTATTTAGTATTTTCAGGGTTGTTACAACAAACACACACACACACCACAGAGACGCTGTTTGTTGTTCTTCTCAGTACAGGGCTTTGCAGAAAAGACCGTGCGGCAACGCAGAACAATGGAGCATCAGCTGTGGTCCCTTGCCATCGAGACGGACAAGACTATGATGCTCTGGAGGACAGTGTTGCGGTCAGGACTCGTCATGCTTGTTAACACGACACCAGAAAAGTAATTTGAGAGACTTGTCAGCATTTGCCACCCAAGCACTCCTGTCCTCGTCTCTGCCACACGTGAAGCAATGAGTGAACCCACGGTGGAGACTCGCTTGGAAAAGGTGGAAGATCAGCTCTCCGATTGGAACACCGCATGCAGAATCAGGGTGGAGGGGTTCCCGACTTTGTCTGAGCGAGTTAAATAGGTCCTGAAAGGCGGCCGGGAACTTTGGAATTTCAAAGCCCACCTAGCCAGAATACTCTGGACAGATGTCTCCCCGGTGCTGAAAAAAGTTGTGACTGAACAGCAACTGGAGACCATGGGAGCCGAATTCGCTCAGGCCTTCGGGTCGGAGGGAGATCTCCAAGGAGTCTTCGGTGTAGGATCCAACATTGACAATGCGAAGATCTACGACGTACGCTTCAAGCCGTCACTGAGCGCCTTGCGCGCCCATGCATTGGTCAGAAAGCATGTCGGACCGGCGCTTAAAAGTGCCAATGAGGGTGTGTCAATGTGGATGCCTTGTCAACTGCAAAGGCCCGTCGTAAACGCAAACGACAGGCCAGCTCCACCACTGCTCCTAAGAGTGCAGCTAATGCTCCCAAGGATGACCGCCAATCCCGCCCAAGGCGGGACGGTCGTGGCCGGTAGGCCTAGCTGCCTAGCTGCGTGTCATCCTTGCTGACTGGCCCTCCCCCCCTGCCTGTGGTGTTGGGGGATTTGCCCGGGATGGAAGTTTTGCGTCAGCAGTAGGTGGTGCCAAATTCTGGGAACAGATCCAGCAAGAAGCAAACAGTGCAAGGCGCTTCTCAGTGGAGTTGTGAGTATGCAGACCCTCTCGGATGCTTGGTTTTTTGTTGCAAGGCTTACCATGGTACTAGACATGATTGGTGCATATGCACTTGACATCACTTGACCGTGAGTGCATCTTGTTTGTTTTTGTATCAACCCTAGCCACACTTACTGCCAGGCGGGGAGGTAGAGAGAGGCGCATGCAATGCAGGTTGGCTGTCAGCTTGGAGTTCTGCAACCCGTCTCTGTTGACCATACTCCCTTTTCTGTAGTGCCTTCCACGTTTACCACTTCGTTTTTCATCTCCCTCTTGCCTAATTAACAGGGTGTTGATAGTTTGTCCTTTTTACTGCCCCTGAAACGGTAGAATGCTGGCGAGTGTTGGACCACAGGGCAGGTGAGTTTTAGTCCACAGGCCCTGCAAACCCTCTCTGTGATTCATATTTGCCTTCTGGCACGCTCTTCCTGGAGTTGTCCTGTTTGTTGCTGCTCTCCTTGAAGTTTGCCCCTTTTTCCCCCCTTGTCTAAGATTCTCCGACGTGAAATGAGCAGGTCGTCAGGTTGATTCCCAGTTCTACAGTGTTGTGACCCTCTCTGGAACTCATATTTTTCCGTTGTTACGCCCCTCCTGCAAATTGGTTTCCCCGCCTGTCTTGTTCCAGCTTCAATACCAATTATCCTCACTCCAGTAACGTGTAGTTGTTGAATGGAGCGAGAATGCTGCAAGTAGGTTCCCAGTTCTTCTGATCCTGACGCCCTCTCTGACGCTTGCATTTTTTGGTTTGTTTTTTCTTTCCTTTTTTGTGTTTTCTCCCTTGCCGTGTTTTCTTCCTTCTGCTCCTTCCTCTCTCCTTCGCTTGCTTTTGCCTCCCCCTTCCTCGCCTCGCCCTTATGGTGCCATGAGTACGCCCTTTGTGGATGGCTGTGGCCGTTATGAAGCAGGAGCCGAGCCGGGGGTCTTCACAGGCCTTACCCTCCGACCGACGACGACGAAAAAGATGCTTCTCGGTGTTGCCCGTGCTTTGGGCGTGGAGATCTGCTGGCTTGGAGACGTACATGTTCGCTTGCGTTCAGTGCAGAACAAAAAGTCCAGGAAACGTGAACTCCCTGTTGTCTTGGATGCCCAGAAGGCCCGTGCCGAGGAATTCGAATGCTTAAAAGGCAGATCAATATTTGCTGAGCACCAAACCCATGCCCCCGCCTTCCTCAAGGATAGGGTTCGAACTTTGGCGCATAGGAACAAAAGTTTTGAAGATGTCGTGTTTTTATTGACAGTGTCACGTACAGAAAGGTTTTTGAGGTCAAACGCAATGATTTTACCGCGTGGTTTTTGTTCAAGAATGGCCCACCAACAACTTCACATGTTGGACACGTCGTAGTTCAAAACGTACGATATTGTCAACGCTTTTGCGATTTGATACATCCATAACAACGGCTTCACAGTTTCGATATGCCAGCGCAAATATTTTGATTTTTTCTGAGCACACCCAGGCCGCTCACAAAAGACTGGCCATTTAAATGGTTTTTATACCAATCAGACGCATGAAACAACCTTCCATGAAGGATGCGGGCGTGCGAAGCCCACACCAACAACACGGTCCAATGAACAAACTTTCGCAACATCTGTGAAAACACAACTACGGTATTGAGGTTTTATAATTGACAAACCAACATTAGCCTTCAATTTGTCGGTTGTGTCGATCGCAACAGTTTCGAGCTCAACAACAGCAATCGAACATCGAAACATTGCAAATCAGATCACATTGCCCTGACTTGAGGAGGGTGCGCAAGCGCAGGTTCTGTGTGCAGCAGGAAATGAACCGAGGAAATCCAAACATGTTGATGCATAGTGAGTTGTGCTCGTTGCCCTTCATTTTGCTATGTGTGTGTGTGTGTCGATAAAGCTTGATTCCCAAATCGTCGGGATTTTGCCGGGGGGTTTGAACCGTCATCGTTAAAAATTGTGTTTCGTCGCCTTGTAATTACATTAGCATGAAGTTTCAACGCCCTGCACGTTCACGATTTTTTGAGGAACGTGCCGCAATGATTTGACAGGAGCGTGTAACATCAGCAGCCACGTCATCCGCTTGAAAAAGGCTCAAGACTGCAATGTTTGCGTGTAACAAGACTTGGCAATGGCCAGGCCGCTTGCAGATTTGTGCGGTGTAGGGTGCTACAGATTTTTTTATTTCCTTGCATGAATCAGCCATGGCGAAATTGTGTTTGGATGTCGAATGGTGTTTCTTGTGATGTTATTTGGTAGGCCTAAAAAAACGAAAGCATCATCCCACGCTCTGGCGAAGAAGGCTGGCTTGCCAGTGCAATTTTGACTATGTCAATGAATAAACTGAAACGTACAAGGTGGATGGGAACAAAGCTGGCAAATCTGCCGTCGGAAGAGGTCATCATTTTGTACGTCGTGCTGCGCTTGTTACTTACCCAAGATTGTGGAAAGGCAGTTGCCAAACCATGTGCGCAAACCGTCAAGTCAAGTTGTTGATGCAGGTGCAGCGGCACGCCATGTAGAGGAACTGCAAGCAATCAAGGTCTTTGGCCTGGTCAGCATGCTTGCGAATTCGCAGTAGCTGTGTATGACGCACAGCTACTGCGAATATGTCATGACACTTGCGACGGCTCACTTGCCTGCAGCTCGTGTTGGCCAGGAAAAAGATCCCGAGTTCTACAAGTTTCTCGTGGAAGAGGCATTTGATTGCTGTTAGGGTTCATCTTTCGTAGCTGCCAGCACCGTCACGCCTCCCCAGCATGTTGCGCGAAGGGCTTGCTCTTTTGCCTTGCGCAGCCATGCCATACAAAACCAATGGAAAAGAGTAAAACCGTTGCAAAAGTCAACGAACCGAGCCAGGACCACGTAAATTTCGAAGCGTGCAAGTCATTCCTGCACATTGAAGCCAGTTGCAAAGACCCCGAAGTAACTTCCGCAATTTGTGATTTGCGTGAAGTGGTTTGATTGACTGTTTGGTTCATTGCGCACCCCAACTGTTTATCACTACACACAGCTTTGTGTGCTAACCCCTGTGAGTGCAAGGATCAACAGCTGTTGGACTTCACCGCCGACGCAGCAGATGCAGCATCTGAGGAGGGTGAAGAGGAGGCAGTTGAGGAGGTGCTTGGTGGCAGCAGAGGGTGGTGCAGTTTTGTGGTATTGCCTTAGTGGCCGTATGGGTCCTTCTGGTCGCGTTTGACTACGGGCTGGGCACTTTGGATTTCTGATCTATGTTGTTTGAAGATGTTTCCATCCCTCCACTTACCTTTGCCCAGGTTGGCCATTGGATATCACCTGCTGAAACAATTGTCGCTAGTGTTTCTGTCGCACGCCGCTAAGTGGTATACAGCCCAGAGCATCAGTTCTGCAGGACAAAGAGGAGGATGAAGACGAGGAGGATGGGACCTTCGTCCAGGAGTGCTGTGATGTTGCGCCTTGAGCTAAGTCTGATACGGCAGAGGATAATTTTCGGGTCACGTAGGTCTCCTAGACACTTTGGCAGGAAAAAGCAACAACCTCTTCCTCGACTGCACGGCATCTGACCTTGGAGCGCTTCAAGCAGATCGAGTGCCCTGCATGGCTATCACTACAGGGTTGCTGGTTTCAAGCATTTCAGTTTTTAGCTGAACGCCGCGCCAAATCAGGAATTCTGCGCCGTTGGCTTTCACCGCCTTCAAGGCGATCTTCGATTTTTGTTGCATTGCAGGGTTCCTCTCATCGAGATGCTTGATCGACTCTTCCCTCATCCAGGCAGCACTGAATGTCTACCATACAGCGGTTCGGTCTATTGACCCAGATGTGGAGGCCTGCCAAAGATGTAGAAAAAAGACCGTTTGCCTTTGGTTCACTATTTGGTTTCAGCTTTCCAGAATCAGAACCTTACGCACAGTGTTCATTGCAGCTCAGCCTGTATCAGTCACGGAGCTTTCATGTTCCCAGAGCCTTTGCTGATGAGGCCAACTTGTATAGGTGGCCCATCTGCTGCAAGATGCTCCCATCCTTGTAAGTCGCCTGAGCACTCGCACAGGATGGGGATGATGAGGCGCCAGCAAGGCGAGGGCAAGTGAGTGGACCATGCATGTGCCACGGAAGCCTGCAAGTTGCGGAGTTTTCTCAAGCCCAGCTCTCCCGAAGCTGGACCAAGGGTTAAGAGTACCTGCTACACTCTGAACTCTCGACCCCCAATCTTGATGCCTCGATGCGTCCTCACTAGCGGGCATGATTGCGGTATAATGTTCAAGCCCCTAGAACTACATGAAGAGATTCTGAATGCCTTGGAGGCGCCGTGCCTCAAAGAAGAAGCGTTCTCGTGGGTCCCTCACAATTGATGATGAGGCCCGGATGATTAAACCTGCCGGGCTAACGGGTTCATAGTTGAGGGCAAGGCGGCGTGCCCCAGCGCCAGTGAATCATCAGTATCAGAGTGAGATGTAGAACGCAAGGATCTAGGGAAATTTCTGTGATGCCCTTGAAGATGCTTGAAGCAGCGTCACGCTTTGTGTTGGTTTCCTTGCTTTCGCAAACAGAGAGGAGGGACGGCTCCAGACCCGTTGTTCTGAGTCTTTGGCATTTTTGGAGGTTTCAGTCTGCATGGAGCCCTGCTGTGCACGATTGTCCGAGATGAGTTGGCGGGAGAACTTGCACGCACGTTTTTAAGTGATTGCGAACATTCTCTCCAGCAACCGTGTTAGGATCTTCTGCTTGCTTTTTAAGGGAGCTTGGCAACTTTCAATTCCTGTGTTGAAAGCTTGGAAAGGTCTTTTCATGTTGCCTTTGCTCTCCTGGCTCGAGGCCACATTCTCTGAAGTGCTGGAGTGGTGCTTGAGCAATGTCCTTGGGCTCCTCAAGCACTACGCTGGTGACGAGCTGCAGGCAGATACCAAGATTTGGAGTACGGGCCTCTGCAGCCGGCTTGCCTCACGTGAATCTGAGGACAAGAAAGGAAAGAACAAGAAGAAGGGTCTGAAGGAAGAAGCCGGTGACAGCTACTTCGACCCTACCCGTCTGGCGAAATGGAAGCGAGTGAAGGCATTGCAACATGTTGCTTTGAGATGCGAGCATTGACTCCAAACCCATTCACGAGGTGTTGTGCAACATCTTCTGGGATGAGACACTCATGCTTCTGAACAAGGCCGATTCAGAGTTCACCCAGCCTACTGAAGAGTATACCTGATATGGTTGATGCATGAAGTTCCGCACGGTTTGCACTACCCATTACTACCCCACGTCCCAGAACCAATGGAAATTGTTCAGCAGCCCTGAGTACCGCAGGATCTCCTTTCTCGACTGTATCGCAGCCGTCCTTGCAAATAAGCGACACTTTGCCATAGACATTCAGAAGCTTGAGCTATTGCAGGGCCTCACCGTGGAGATGCAAGAGGCTGTGCTGCGAACCTGCAGCAGCCAGCAGGCGCTCTGCTGGCCACCTGATTTTGACACGATTGAGACCTTCAAAGGGCACCTCTGAGGGCGAAAGCACGCTGAGAACCTGGGTTTTGGCATCCAAGGCTTTGGCCCTGCCAGCACCTCCGGCGGCGTTTTCTGCGGCGATGCTGTTCGATTTGGGCTCGGCCGGCAGCTGCGGGCGGCTCGGAGTCCTCCCCGGGCGCTGTGCGGCAGCTGGGAGAAGATAGCCAATAGCCGTGGACATGTCACTTTGGGCCGGTCCACTCTACCACAGTTCTGAAGCAGCCTTATGGGGAACTTGAGGTTTCCTGTGCCATTCCTCGACAGGTACCAATCGAAGTTGTCAAGCCTGCCACGCGTTAACCTTGTCCCGACCCTTCTTACCAGTGAGTTTAACGTTCACGCGGCTGCTTCCTTAACCGCTAAACCGCAGCAGCAACGAGCCGCAGTGTGGTTAGAAAGCTACAAGTAGACATGAATGAGTATGTCTGGTGGACACAGGAACCCTTACCGTCGTGTAGTGCCAACGCTCACAGCTGACCCGTGTGTGTTAGAGAAGTACACTAACCCTATTGACAGTAGCTTTGATTAGAGTGGACTTGCCGAGGCTGCTGAGCTTTCTGTTCTTGCGGAACGCAGCCGCCATGCTTCTGCTAAAGCCGGGATCTGCGAAAGACTTACGTGGCATTCCGACCCTGGAGGACAGGATTAGTAGGAAGCCCTAGCCATGGCAGACGCATGACTCCAGTGTCCTGGTGATGGAACTTCCCCTGGTTGACAGGCTTTGGTTGACTTCCAACATGTTCCCTGCTCAGGCCCTGATCCGCACTGTGCTGCGCTCCTTCGCCACTGCTGCTGCGGGTTCTTACACCTGGAGATCTGTAAGCAACTTCCGCTTTATGGCCGCTTGGTATACACGTGTACGTGTCAGGCAGAGCTGGAATGATGTTTTGTCTACCACATATGCCAGACCACCAAACCCTGCCAATGCTAGGAGAATTGCATTTTGGAGCTCTTCCGTCTAGACGACGCCACTTCATATCGCGTGGGCTATGTCTGGATAAGACAGCTGGCGCTAGTGCTGCGAAATGCCTCCATGGCCTCCTCGCGAGGTGGCACCGTGAACGTTAAAACAGCCAAGACAGCCAAAGCCAAGGCCAAGGCCAAAGCAACGAGGGACCGTGCGAAGAGAGACAAGGCAGTGAAAAACAAGGCTGGAAAGGAGAAAACTGCCAACAACGAGCAGGAGGATGAAGAAGCACCCCGAAGAAAGGTCAAATCAAAGCCACTCGAAGAGCTGATGAGCTGGCAGTTTGTTCGTTCCATGTACCTGTGGACCCGTGTGGTGACATCAGTTCCATCGCTGAAGCCACTTGGATATCCCCTCTTCATGGTAATCCTTGGGGCCGTCAAGAGCCTTGTCTGCACCAGATTTTGTTCGACTCCGTGAGGGATACAAAGAGTTTCTGAGATACCTAGGAGCCGGCTGATGAATCTGCAGTGCTTCCCCTTTGTTTGCCACGGCCTCACCTGCCTGAACCGCTTGGCCGCGGGCCTTGAGGCCCTGGTACCCCTTTCCAGCCACCTTCTGACGCACTGCTTGCATTGGCTGCAGACAACCCGCTCAAGATGCGGACTTTCATCCTTAGAGCTCGGATGGATCAGTTGAGGAAGCTACTGGACATTGTCCACCATCAACTGGAGTCTAAGAAGAAGCTGGGGTCCAAAGCCCAAGCGCAAGGCTGGGAATCAGTGCAACCCTTTCAGCCAGATCCTCGCTCACTGCTTAAAGATGTGCTGAGCCTTGAAAGAGCTTTGAGTCCCCAGCACTGTGTCCAGATGACGATGGTGAAGAACCAGGTGAGCGGAAGCCGCCTGACATGGAGGCTCGTAGTTCCCCCACCATGACAAACTTAGAGGTCAGTCGAACTGAGAACCCTGAGAGGTTCTTCTACGCCTTTCGCCTGGCCGGGAAGAGGTCCTAGAACTGGTGGCAGAAAGGATTTGTGCTGCTTGGTTGCTCTAAACCAAGCCACAGCAACTTACCAGATGACTTCATACTGCACGTGCTTGGAGTTGCACCAACTGCCAATCACTGCAGAAGCTGCGGCAGGCCTAGTTAACAAAACACATTATAATACGAGTTGGCCAAGGCTGTGTTAATTTGCAACAAGGAAGGAGTCTCGGAGTTTCAGGGCATCTCGAACATTCGGCAGGTCAACCGCAGTCCCGAGCAGCCCCCGCAACTGAGGGCCTCTTCACCGATCACCTGGGTCTACTGAGCCGATCTACATCCTTCCCAGAGCTTTCGGCACCGGTGGTGTCCCGGTATACATAGACAACGCTTGGTGTTTGGGCAGGGCTGCTTATTATGCCAGTGTCGTGTTTCCCAGGTGCTGCACCTTCGGCGGCTAAGCAAGCTGCGTGGCTGAAGGAAAGGTGCTACGTGAGATTTGCTGCGCCCACTTCTCGCAGGCACTGCCGGAATGAAGCTCTGCGGAAGCAGCTAAAGGCTTTGCTTGCAGCTGTTGAGCAGAGCAGCCAAGCGGTGCTGCGATATCGCGAGCAGCTGCAGGCCCCGAAACCCACCGTTGCCCTGGGAAATCCGTTTGTACATCCGGGAAGATGCCCGCAGCCTTTTCAGGGAAATCTGTATGCAGGATATCAAGTGTAGTGTCCTGCTTCTCGGCGGGAGCGTCCTCTCGCATTTGTAGTACTACTACTAATAGAAACAGTAGTGCTAGTAGCAATACTAATAATAATACTAGTATTCATAATCTAAGCGTACTAATACTAATAGCCTTGGCCAAGCGCTTTGCAGGAGCCCCCTCCTGCTGGCAAGCTCCTGGTTCTCGGAGCGGATGCCACGCCTCTGGCCAAGCAACGAATGCAGTGGCTGAAGCGCCCCAAAGCCGCAAGAAGCCGAAAAACATGGCAATGTGTTATTACTCTTCATATGTTAATCATTACTACTATTAATGTTCTTGTTCATATTATTAGTACTACAATTATTGTTCTTTTTTTTCATGGCAAGGAATCCAGGCCCTTTGCTCAATTTTCTGGACACTTTTAGTCAAGTCTGTCCAACCTGCTGGTGATAAGAGATGAGAGGTCGGGCTGAATACGAGAGATCGAAGGTTGAGGGCGATCTTGCCTGGGGCTTGGTGAGTGGCTCAATCGCGCTGCCTGTTCTCAAGTCCCGAGATGATCCGAGATGTGTATTCGAACTCAGGAGCAAGGCAAAGCCCGCAAGAGGCGAAAGGCCCGATTCGAGCAGGGTGTCCCAAAAATTGCATTTTTGATAACACAGGATTTCCTCTCAGTTTGCAAGATGTCGCTGTGCCTTAGATTTTCTCGTCGCTCATAGACCACCACAGCCGTGCACCAGGACTGTCAGAACGAGCAGCTTGCAACGTAGTTGTGCAGTTGTGCCCAATCATGTTTCAGAAGAGGCAGGTTAGTCAGTGAACTCGGTGAGGTGCCAACTGCTGAGACGGCTTTACTGGCAGCACGTTAGACTTCTGATCCGGAGCTGGCTTTCTTGCGCTGCAGGTTGCGAAGGCGGCAGCAGCAAAGGGCTGACAGGTGATGGGTTAGGCCGATAGATTCAGGTCAGGCTGTGACTCCCACATCTCGCAGACAACACCTACCCAACCCTCTCCCATCAACAGCAGCCAGAAAGCGGTTTCAAAGAAATTCTTCAGCTGCGAGGTTCTCATGACAACTTGCTGAATTTGTCATTGTTATTCACATATTCAGTGCCATGAAGGATTAGCAGTCTTATTTGGAAAGCGTAGAACCTCACCAGGTAACGAGATTGTCTGGTGCTGTTAATGCCCACAGTGCCTTGAATTGAGGGTACTGGAACACCGCCCATGCGGAAAACAGAATGCAGCTCTGAAGCCTGCTGTGAATTGCATGTTGGATACACCTCGGCCCCCTTCAAAAGACTGCTCCATGCTTCCTTGCGGAGCAGAGCATATTAGCAAAAGTTGCATTGTGCACAGTGGCCACGAAATTCCACGAATTTCAAAATTGCGAGCTGGTGAACCGCTTGGTCAGGCTCAAGGATGCAATCTTCAGGGTGCTGGCGGCCAGATACATGACAGAACCACGAGGCTTTCAGGATGTAAACTATTGAAGGTGGGGCCACAAGTGATGGTTTGAGGTATGAGGTTTCTCAAAGTGTATAATTGCAAGGGGACGGATTGCATGAAGTAAATGGGCAACAGGTGCTGGCTGAAGGCTGAAAAGGTTATAGCAAGGTTTATCTAAGTGGCAAATGCAGGAGCTTTGGTGCAGAAAGGCAGCCTTTCTGCGCCAAAGCTCCTGCATTTGCCACTTCGATAAACCTTGCTATAAAGGCTTCAATAGACTTGGCTGCGACTATGCAGTCTGCGGTCCAACATGATGGAAGCCTACAGCATGCAGGAGGACCGGAGGACTCTCAGAAGGTCTGGATCCGTGTCCACCCGAGCCGTGGTCAAGGAGAACAGTTTGGGGGCGGTTCAGCTTCGCGTCGCGTGAGACGAGACTCCGGTGGTGACAACGACTGGTGGCGCAGCAAGTACAAATGGAGCGGTGGCAAGGGAGATCAAGAAGGCAACATCACCGACGAGGAGGATGTTCACTTAGGCGCTGCGAAGTGCCTCTGGCCTGCAGGCAAGGCCTCGAAGCGGTTCCAGAATTTGACAGATGTGAAAGGCTTGCCTGAGTTCCGCCTGTGAAGTTATGTAGATTCAATAGTTGGTGGCCATGGCCGTGGGCAGGCTTTTGTTGGCGCATGGACTTTGACATGAGGCTTCGAAGCACACTGAATTCTATGTATGGTTTCTGCTAACCGTAGTTTGCTGCTGCCATGAGATGAGGTGTTGGGGTTGTTCGTATATGGCGTCGGATTCCGGGACTCGAGAGTCACGTGCAACACGTGAAAAAGGGTCACTGAGTGGCGGACCGTCATTACATGCAGCATTTTGCAGAGGCGATGCATCGCCTGGCTTCATGACTTTGGAACCGGCGGTGGTTGATGCATCGTTAGTTGTTTTCCCTGGTCGGATTTTCTTTGCCACGTTCACTGGCTCAATGTTTGTTACATCAAGAAGCCATCAAGCGTGCCTCACGCAACTGCTTATTGACTTGATATCATCGTGAAAAAAGGGCAGAGCTCGACAGGGCCCCGTGTTTTTTTTCCCTAGGCGTGGCTGTAAGACCCTGGTCAGCCACGCTCTCTTTTCCTTTTGTTTAGAAGGAAAAGGTTCGGTCGGTCGGTCGGACGGAGGGTCGGTCGGTCGGTCGGTCGGCCAACGCGTCGTGACGCTGGCGCGTGGAGCATTCTCGAAACTCTGGGCGTAAGTGGCGACCATCTCGTTGTCTTAGGCGTGTCGTGATGCTGGCGCGTGGAGCGTCCTCGAAATTCTGAGCCTAAATGAGGACCCTCTCGGTGTTGTCGACGCGTGGCGTTTGTTTCAAAAGCTTTCATCATGCTGAATGGTTTTGCATCATGTCTCATCAGGTTGATTGACAAGTTTGACCCATGTTTCATGGTTCGTACATTTGTTCGTCAATTTTCGTCATCAATCATCATGTTACATTGTGGCTCATCATTTCTCGTCACGTTTCATCGTTTGTTTTTGGATCCTCATTGAATTTGGTTTTGCTCCTCCGAATCTCCGAAACGTTCCATTTGCAGTGTTCAAGCGTCCAAATCCTCAATTTTGTCTTTGTTGATCCTGAATATTGATTTTTGTTTAATTCAGTTTTTAAGTTTTGTTGTTTCCTATTTAACTTGTTTGGTCGTTAGTTACCTAGTTTTTGGCCCCACACCCGCCCACACCCTCCCACGTCCTTTGCCCTTTTAGACACGGCCCCGTATCATGTCTAATATAGTGAATCAGCCCCAGCAATCGTCACATCCCTCAATTTCAACGGCTTGCGACTAGGGTAGCTGAAGCCCCCCCGCTTCTTTAAATAGGCGCCTGTAATATACATGATTTTGAAGAAGCTCCTACGAAACGTGTGAAGGGTTAGTGACTCTTCATGTCTTCTGCTTTTACATCATTTTCATGGTTTCTCATCAGCCTTCATGATGTTCATAAGTTTCATCATTAACCCTCACTTTGTATCATTTGTACTGGTTTTTGCATCATGCTTGATGATTCTCATCATTTCATCAGCTCCATCATAAGTATGATCTTTGACCATTTTCATGATTTTGTATCAATATTCATCATTTTCATCGTATTGATGATCTTGATTTCTCACCACATTTCATCATTTTCATCCGGT